TGGGGTGGATGGGGAAGAGACTTACTCCGAATGTTCGTTCAACATCCGTGGGCACCAGGTCTGTGGCAAGCACAGGGACTCCAGGGCCAGCTGCCATTCGTTCCAGTGATGTATTCGGGGCCTTCTCAGGTGAGGAAGTCAAGCTGGCCAAGGCCCTCTGTCCCCTGCCCTGATGGGACTTAGCTGTGGGTGGGGGAGGGAGGCCGCTCCAAATAGTGACTGGGGCCAGGCAGGAGGAAAGGAGAGCAGAGGAGGATCCAGAAGTGCTCAGACAGAACTAGGGACAACAGAGGGGCCTCCGTGGTGGCGAGTGGGTCAGCAGAGCATGGAGCAGGCAGAGGAAGCCTATCTGGGAGGCTGGGTGCATTTCTCTGAGACTAAGGGGATGTAGGTGTTGGGGTTTCTGCAAAGAGGGCGCAGGCCCTGCAGTGACGGTTCAGATATTGATAACCCATCCCCCTTGGAGGGTCGGGGTTTAGGCATCCATATTGGATTCAGAAAAGAACAAGAACGATGTTTCTTGCAACAAAACAAAAGTGATTATGTCACGAGAGGAGAGGCTGGAGGGCCATAGGAGTTCCCAGCTGGCTCACTCATCCGTCCAGGAGGTGGGGTCTCATGGTTTCATTTTGCTCTGGACCTACTTAGAGTTTTGATAAATGCAGAGTTATATAACGAACCCGACAATGAAGATACAGAATAGTTCTGTCACCCCCCAGCATTCTCCTGTGGCCCTCTAGTCCACCCCCCTGCCCCACCCCATCCCCTGGCAACCACTGATCTGCTTTCACAATAACTGTATGGGTTTTTTTATCTTTCCTTTTTTGTGAGCATTGTTTAATTCTTTTGCTCTAATATGTAATATTAGAACATATTACAAAGTAGCAAGAAAAATACGACACTGGTGTAAAAATAATCTACACCTCACAGAAAGAATGAAGAGCCAGAAATAGATTCTATTCTGTAGAAAATCTTACACAATAAAGGACTTCAAAACAAGGGTAAGGAAGGATTCTTTAACAAGAGGTGCTGGGATAACTGGATAAAAATTTGGGAAAAAAGTCATACCATGCGCCACCCTTGCATTTATTTTTATTTTATTTTATTTTATTTTGAGATGGCGTCTCGCTCTGTCGCCAGGCTGGAGTACAGTGGCGCGATCTCGGCTCACTGCATCCTCTGCCTCCCGGGTTCAAGCAATTCTGCCTCAGCCTCCCAAGTAGCTGGGACTACAGGCGCCCGCCACCACACCCTGCTAATTTTGTGTAATTTTAGTAGAGACGGGGTTTCACCATGTTAGCCAGGATGGTCTGGATCTCCTGACCTTGTGATCCGCCCGCCTCAACTTCCCAAAGTGCTCGGATTATGGGCGTGAGCCACTGCGATTGGCCCACCCTGCATTTATTGAGTTAAATTTTAAAAATCCTATCCTAGGAAATTGGTGTTGGGGCTCAGAAAATGATACCCCAAAGTATGGAGCTGTGGGAGGCTGAATGCTTTGAACTAAAGTCTCTGACCATTGCTCACTCCTCTTCCCTCCCAAAACCCTCCTGAAGCGCAGGGAGGGGCCTTCTCTAAAGTTATCTTTTGTTTCTAAGGGAAGTTCCTGCAGAAGGAATGCCATTGTCTTGAGCCCTTTCCCTAGCATCTCATAAAACATGGATGATTAACTCACAGGAAAGGATACTGAAGGTGATACCATCTCTTCTGAGGACTGAGCCACTTGAGAGGTTTTATCTGCATGACAAGACAGCCTTTGTTTGCCATGCATTTCCTCCCCTCAACCTCCTAGCATCTGTCGCCACCTCCTCCCAGAAACCTCAGGCCCCAGTTTTTGGAGCTCAAATGCTATTTAGACTTCATCAATCTGGCCCTTACTAGAGTCTCACATTTTGTGGGACTCCTGCGCATGTATGTAATACATTTGCATGCCTTTTCTCCTGTTCATCTGTCTACCGTCAGTTTTATTCCAGAGACTCAAATTATTGAAACTTCGGAGAATACAGGGAATGTTTAAAACTTCTACACTGACAAAAAGTTAATTCGATTACTACTGAATTAATGGGAGAATTGATTGCTTTGAAGGAATCCTCCCCATCCCTAACAAAAAACAAAAACACAATCCCTATGGGGAAAGACTGACAAAATCAACTATTTAATACAACTTGGTGCACACTTGAAAATAATATCAAGATGCAAGGATGGCCACATACTGGGGGAGAACCTCAACTTTGCTCACATCCTTCTTAGCTGTGAGGCAGGCCAAGGCTCCCGGAGAGGAAGTGGGGAAGCCTGGGGCATTTGCCAAAGCCTGTGAGGTCAGGTTGGCTGGGAGGCGGCTTGGGCCCCTTGGCCCCAGGCAAGGTTCAATCAACTCTCCACCCCAGTGGCTTCTGTTTGGGCCAGGGCCACCCAGGCTCCTCATGCTTGGGCAGGCATCTCTGGGATGTGCCATCCCAACGCCCCCGCGGGCACGCAGTCCTGCTGTGGGCCTTCTCCCCTGCTATATATCATAAGGTTATTAAGCCACAGTTTCCTTATGTATATGTGGAGGACACTGGCTTCTTGATTATCTCTGAGTACCTCCTGTGCGCAAAGCCTGTGGTGTTGGCGATAAGGCAGTGATGAAGACAAAACGTGCGCCCAGTGGAGTTTTTTTGTTGAGACAGGGTCTCACTCTGTTGCCCAGGCTGGAGTGCAGCGGTGCAATCTTGGCTCACCGCAACCTCTGCCTCCCAGGCTCAAGTGATTCACCTGCCTCAGCCTCCCAAGTAGCTGGGATTATAGGCGCCTGCCACTACACCTCAACTTGGCTAATGTTTTTTATATTTTGAGTAGAGACGGGGTTTCACCATGTTGGCCAGGCTGGTCTTGAACTCATGACCTCAAATGATCCAACTACCTTGGCCTCCCAAAGTACTGGAATTACAGGCATGAGCCACCGTGCCTGGCCCATGTTTGTTTGTTTTTGAGACAGGGTCTCTCACACTCTCTTATCCAGGCTGGATTGCAGTGGCGCGATCACTGCTCACTGCAGCCTCGACCTCCTAGGCAGCCTCCCATCTCAGCCTCCCAAGTAGCTGGGACTACAGATGTGCGCCACCACACCCGGCTAACTTTTGTGTTATTTGTAGAGACAGGGTCTACCTATGTTGTCCAGACTGGTCTAGAACTCCTAGGCACAAGCATTCCTCCCTCCTCAGCCTCCTAAAGTGCTGGGATTACAGGCGTGAGCCGCCATGCCTGGCCCCAAAGAGGGTGATGGGAGTAGGGGCCAGAAGACAGAATGAATAAACATGCAAAATAACTTCAAGTCAAGTGCTATAAAGAAAACAGGTCGGCTGGGTGCGGTGGCTCACGCCTGTAGTCCCAGCACTTTGGGAGGCCGAAGCGGGCGGATCACGAGGTCAGAAATTCAAGACCAGTCTGGCCAGAATGGTGAAACCCCGTCTCTACTAACAATACAAAAAATTAGCCGGTCATGGTGGTGTGTGCCTGTAGTCCCAGCTACTCAGGAGACTGAGGTAGGAGAATTGCTTGAACCTGGCAGGCGGAGGTTGCAGTGAGCCAAGATTATGCCACTGCACTCCAGCGTGGGTCACAGAGCAAGACTCTGTCTCAAAGAAAGGAAAGGGAAAGGAAAGGAGAAAAGAAAGGAGAAAAGAAAAAAGAAAGAAAAGAAAAGAAGAAAACAAAACAAAACAGGGCAAGGCACGGTGGCTCACTCCAGTAATCTCAATACTTCCGAAGGCTGAGAGTGGAGGATCTCTTGAGGCCAAGAGTTCGCAACCAACTTGCGCGACATAGGGAGCCCACGTCTCTATTTTGGAAAAAAAAAAAAAAAAAAAACAGTAAGTTGTGCAAAGGGGAAGAAGAGGGGGGATGCATGGGGAGGCATGGAGGATTCAAGGGGAGGATGGCCTGGAATGAGGCCCAACCAAAAGGGAGCAGAAGTCGGCAACACAGATACCTAGCTTTTTCTCCAGGACTGCTCCTAGTCTCAGCATCTGAGGCCTGAGGAGGAGTGGGGACTTCTTTACTCTTTCCCTCTAGAGCAGAGGGTCTGGAAGGATAGAAAATTCAATCTAGGGCTGGGTGAGGTGGCTCATGCCTGTAATCCCAGCAATTTGGGAGGCTGTGGTGGGCGGATCACCTGAGGTCAGGAGTTCCAGACCAGCCCGGCCAACATGGCAAAATCCCATCTCTAAATACAAAAATTAGCCGGGTATGGTGGAGCATGCCTGTAATCTCAGTTACTCAGGGGGCTGAGGCAGGAGAATCGCTCGAAGCTTGGAGGTGGAGGTTGCAGTGAGCCGAGATCACACCACTGCGCTCCAGCCTGGGCAACAGAGCAATACTTCATCTCAAAAAAAGAAAGAAGAAAAAGAAAATTCAGTCCGGTCTTGGGTTTGGGGTCAGTGCCTGTTCTCTCCTCCCTAACCTTCACCCTTCCTCCTTAGGAAGGATGGGCAGGTCCCATCTTCTCCCCTTCCCCACTTCCCCAGGACAGCGACCAACAGAGGGCGGCAGGGTAGTGCTGGACCCGCTCGTCCGCAGAACCGAATTCTGCTGAATACCCAGTGGGCAGATTAAGTTCGGGACATGGGGACCAGCAAGGCCGGGACGGGAAAGACGAGTTTTCTGTGTTTTTTAAGCGGAGTCTCGCTTTGTCGCCCAGGCTGGAGTGCAATGGCATGATCTCGACTCACTGCAACCTCCGCCTCTTGGGTTCAAGCGATTATCCTGCCTCAGTCTCCCGAGGAGCTGGGACTATGAGACCACAGGTGCCCGCCACCGCGCCCGGCTAATTTTTGTATTTTTAGTAGAGACGGGGTTTCACCGTATTAGCCAGGATGGTCTCGACCTCCTGACCTCGTGATCCTCCCACCTCGGCCTCCCAAAGTGCTGGGATTACAGGCGCCAGCCACCGCGCCCGACCTGGAGTTTTATTTTTTTTAAGTATCACTTGGTATTTCAAGAGCGCACCGCGGGCACAGCCCAGCTGCCCCGCTCACGGCCCCCGCGCCGCCCTCACTGAGCTGGGCGGGCAGCGCTGCAGGCGTAACCACTTGGGGCTTCTGACCCGGGAGCCAGGCGCTGGGTTGAGTGCGGGGCCGACGCCTCCTCTGCTGGGTGGGGAACCCGCCCGCCGGCGAGGAGCGGTCGCGGCCAGCGGCTTCCGCCGACTGGGAGGCCCGCGGCCCGGCCGGAGGGACTTGGAACCTGGAGGCGACCAGGCGCGACCCCCTAAAGGACTACAGGTGCGGCTTTTCTGGCCATCGCCCTGTTCCCGCGGGCGACTCCACTCGGCACGCGCGGCGGGGAGGCTCGGCGGCCGGACGCAAAGCTGCGGGCTCGTGGGACGGCCACCCCTCCACGAAACCGCCAGTGGGCGGGCCCAGGCCGCCGATCGACCGCCCTGGCTTCCGGTTCCGATGACAGTGGCGCCGGAAGCCGGGGCCGGGGCTGCGGGGCGAGGTGAGAGCGCGCGGGCTTGGGGCCGGCAGGTGCGGGCCGAGGGCGGGCACGGCGGCCGGCAGAGCTGAGGCGCGCGGCGGGGAAAGCTCGGCCGGCCTCCCGGGTCCCAGCCTTCTCCGGATTCCCTGCTATCCACGACTAAGCCCCGGACAGTCTGCCCTTGGGCTTGTTCTCTTCTCAGTTATCGGCCCCGGGCCGGGAGCTGGAGTCCCAGACTCAGGTCCCGGCCCAGCCCCCGAAGAGCCGCCTCAGCCGGGGGAGTAGCTCGGACTCAAACGTCCCGTCCTTGTGCGACCGCGCTGGGTCGGAGGTGAGCAGGTGCGCACCGGGCTCGGCAGGGCTTTGGGGCAGGGTCTTTGGAAGGATGACTAGGAGTTTCCTGTCGCTTGCATGTTAATGCGGGTCAAACTCCCAGTAGGCGCTGCTGTCCAGGGAAAATGATGGGCTTTTTCCTCCCTCCAGTTTTGGTTAATGAGAAAAGAAAGAAACTTCAAGTAGGGCTGTGTGGTAAAAAAAAAAAAAAAAATGGAAGAGGGCGATATGACAGGGTAACTGGTGTGAGGGTGGGGCAGAGGGGTCAGCATTAGATACTGTGGTCTAGCAGAGCGGCTCTGAAGACGTGACATTTGCGTTGAGACCCAAATTAGGAGGAGGGTATGGGAAGATATGGGGAGAGAGTGGTCCAGGCAGCGGGAACAACCAGTGCGAAGGCCCCGGGGCAGAAATCGACTGGGAGTATCGTCAGGGAACAGAAAGAAAGCTAGTGTGGCTGGAGTATGGTAAGAAAGGGAAAGAGTGGTAGGAGATGAGGTCGGAGAGTCGGGGTTTCCTCACGTAGAGCTTGTAGGTCATAGAAAGGAATGTGGAGTTTTTTCTAAGTACAGTGGAAATCTTTTGGTTTTAAGAAGAGGAGTGACATGTAGGGTAGAGAATAGATGGAGATGGCGGCTGCAAAAGTCTAAGAATTGGCTGGGCACAGTGGTTCTCGCCTGTAATTCCAGCACTTTGGGAGGCTGAGGCTGGCAGATGGCTTGAGCTCAGCACTTCAAGACCAACCTGGCCAACATGGTGAAACCCTGTCTCTCCAAAAAATTAGGCCTGGCGCAGTGGCTCACGCTTGTAACCCCAACACTTTGGAAGGCCGAGGCGGGAGGATCACTTGAGGCCAGGAGTTCAAGACCAGCCTGGCCAACGTGGTGAAACCCCATCTCTACTAAAAATACAAAAAACAGGTCTGGTGGCAGGTGCCTGTAATTCCAGCTACTTAGGAGACTGAGGCAGGAGAATCGCTTGAAACTGGGAAGCGAAGGTTGCCATGAGCCAAGATCATGCCACGAGACTCCATCTCAAAAACAAACAACAAAAAAATTAGCCAGGTGTGGTGGGGAGAGAGGGAAGAATAGGGACAAAAGGGAATACATAAATAAATACAAAGGAGAAAAGGCCCTGCATGGACCAATTAAATGTGTCATAAACTCAGGAGTGTTCATGGGGGGACTACATGGTGCATTTGTAGTGCCAGCTTCTTGGGGTGGGGGGCCGAGGTGAGAGGATCACTTGAGCCCAGGAGGTCGAGGCTGCAGCGAGCCCTGATTGTACCACAGCTCTCTGGCCTGGGCAACAGATTGAGACCCTGTCTCTCTCTCTTTTTTTTTTTTTTTTAATTTTTAAGCAACCCTAGTAACTGAAGAGACCCTGCCTCAAAAAAAAAAAAAAGCATTAAGAATTGAGTCAATGGAGGTTGTCTAATCTTTGTCAGGCAAAAGGAACCTTTGTGATTTGCTCAAACTTCTTTTCTCCCTGCACAGGAGCCCCTTGTTTCAGGATGCCAAATACTCCAGGATAAACCTCCATGCATGCCATCATGGAGATTTAATATTTCACTCATGTCTCTTTCTACCCACTCCTACACGTTTGAGCTCAGGCTGTCTAGGGCGAAGTTATGAAATGGATGTGTCATTTAATCAGCAAATGTGTTGTTGTTGTTGTTGTTGTTTTTGAGACGGAATTTTTGCTCTTGTTGCCCAGGCTGGAGTGCAATGATGTGGTCTTGGCTCCCTGCAACCTCCACCTCCTGGTTCAAGCGATTGTCCTGCCTCAGCCACCTGAGTAGCTGGGATTACAAGCGCGCGCCACCACACCTGGGTAATTTTTGTATTTTTAGTAGAAACGAGGTTTCACCATGTTGCTCAGGCTGGTCTCAAACTCTTGACCTCAGGTGAGCCACCTGCCTCAGCCTCCCAAAGTGCTGGAATTACAAGCGTGAGCCACTGCACCCGGCCAATCAACAAATTTTATTTTTTTTTTGAGATGGAGTCTCGCACTGTCTTCCAGGCTGGAGTGCAGTGGCGTGATCTCGGCTCACTGCAAGCTCTGCCTCCAGGGTTCACGCCATTCTCCTGCTCCATCCAGCCTCCCGAGTAGCTGGGACTACAGGCGCCCACCACCTCGCCCGGCTAATTTTTTGTATTTTTTTAGTAGAGATGGGGTTTCACTGTGTTAGCCAGGATGGTCTCGATCTCCTGACCTCATGATCTGCCCGCCTTGGCATCTCAAAGTGTTGGGATTACAGGCGTGAGCCACCGCGCCCAGCCCCAATCAACAAATGTTTACTGAGCATCTGCCATGGACCAGGCCCTGGTCTGGGCACCGAGCGGGAGAATGGACAAGACTGCACTCCAGCCATTGAGCAGCTCACAGACCAATGGGGGAGGCCGACGTGGACAGGCCGTTACTGTGCTGCAATGGTTGAGGACTCAGATGGGTGTGGTATGGCCACTCCTGCCAGGTTATGAAGCAGAAAAAGAGGCAGGGAGATTTCACTGAGGGCTCAAGGGAGGTGATAATTTAACTACAGCTTACGTACTCTATACAAAGAAGTGCAGAGGGCGCTCTAAAAATAGGAACAACTTGTGCAAAGGAAGCAAATATGTAATTGCAAAGGGCTTATATGTCAACCATGGCAGTGTTGGGCACAAGGTAACAGGATCTGGTGTGTGTTTCGGAGGGTCATCCTGGTGGATAATTTCTGTATATGTGAGACCTTGGGGAGGAAGGCTTAGGACCCATGGACATGAAATTTCAATCATCAGTACTTCTGTTAATCATGAAGTTTGTCAAAGACAAACACAATTCCTTGTGCCTGGTGCAGATGACTGACTATGATTCAGGCGGAGTGGCTTGCTCTGGACAGACTGAATTAACTTCCTGGATTTTTTGGAAAGAATACCCGCAAACAGTTCTGTTTTCTCAGTTCACTTATTTTATTTTTAAAAATTTGGCCAGGTGATTTGGCTCACACGTGTAAATCCCAGCGCTTTGGGAGGCCAAGGCAGGTGGATCACTTGAGGCTAGGAGTTTGAGACCAGCCTGGCCCAAATGGCGAAACCCCGTCTTTACTAAAAATACAAAAATGAAAAAAAAAAAAATGAGCCAGGTGTGGTGGCGCACCTGTAATCCCAGCTACTTGGGAAACCAAGGCATGAGAATTGCTTGAACCCGGGAGGTGGAGGTTGCCAGTGAGCCAAGATAGTGCCACTGTACTCCAGCCTGGGCAACAGAGCAAGACTGTCTCCAAATAACACAAACAAAAAAAGTACTGAGTTAATCACTCTCCTCAGGGTGACACTTACTGGTCCATGCAGGGCCTTTTTCTCCTTTGTATTTATATTCCCTTTTGTCCCTATTCTTCCCCCATCTTCTCACCACAGGAAACCATTCTGATGTGTTTGGTGTATATCTTCTTTTTGTTTTTTTTGAGACAGGGTCTCACTCTGTTGCTCAGGCTGGAGTGCAGTGGCATAATCATGATTCACTGCAGCCTTGATGTCCCGGGCTCAAGCAATCCTCCCTCCCACCTCAGCCTTCTGAGTAGCTGGGACCACAGGCATGTGCCACCATGCCCAGGTAAATCTGCCATGTTGCCCAGGCTAGTCTCGAACTCCTGAGCTTAGCAGTCTGCCTGCCTTGACCTCCCAAAATGCTGAGATTACAGATGCGAGCCACTGCTCCTGGCCTATATGCATGCATATATATATATATATATAAAATTTTTTTTTTTTTTTTTTTTTTGAGACGGCGTCCTGCTCTGTCTCCCAGGCTGGAGTGCAGTGGTGCAATCTCGGCTCACTGCAAGCTCCGCCTCCCCAGTTCACATCACTCTCCTGCCTCAGCCTCCCGAGTAGCGGGGACTACAGGCGCCGCCACCACACCCGGCTAATTTTTTGTATTTTTTTAGTAGAGACGGGGTTTCACCGTGTTAGCCAGGATGGTCTCGATCTCCTGACCTCGTGATCCTCCCGTTTCAACCTCCCAAAGTGCTGGGATTACAGACGTGAGCCACCATGCCCGGCCGCATATATTTTTAATTTACATAAATGGATTCTGCCTAGACCTCATTTTTTTCCACCTCAGTGCCATGTGTGGATCTTACTGATGTTGCTCTGGGTATATTTGGGACGCACTTTCTAAATGTTCCACAGGTTTCCATAGATGCATCCCCCACATTTTACTTACTTACTTGATTCCTCTAGTGATGAGGTCCCTAGATTGTTTCCTACTCCTTGCCACAATGCAATCCTGTACCATCTCCTTCCTCAACTTTGTAAATACAATTTTATTGCTTCTCATAAAGGCAATTTTATTGCCTTTTGGCTAAGATCAAGTGTAGTAAATACAATTTCAAGATGCTGATTTGAGCTTGCCTTTGATAAGCCTGGTAGCTCTTGGGGTCTGACAGGCCGGATTGTTTGACCTTCATGAGGTCCTGGCTTTTTTGAGCCATGTTTATTTTTGATAAATATATCAAAATGTTTGATATGTTTATTTTTGAAAAATTGTGATTCTAGTTCCCAGACACTCTTGGCCAACATTCTAGTGTCCTGCCGTCTTCCCTAGTTGATCATTCTCATGAGCTCTGTGGTTAATTTTCTGTTTCTCATCTTCATTAATGGTTGCTGTACACTCATTCCAACACAGATATTTGCTGCTTTCCTTTCCTGGTGAAACAGTGGCCTGTGAAGCTGGTCCTGGGAGTGCCTGTGATGTGAAGTACTTAGAGAAGGACTCCCAGGTCAGAGCCAGACTGTCTGGCTTCAGTTCCCAGCTCCTCCACTTCCCAGATGCCTGACCTTGGGCAACTGATTTAATCTTTGTGTCTCATTTTCTCGTCTGCAAAGTGGGTCTAATCATCGTACCTACCTCATAGTGTTTTCATGAGCATTAGGTAAACGAATTAATGTATGCAGTCATTAGAGCAGTGCCTGGCACAGAACAGGCTCCTATTTGGAATGTCAGCTGTTAACAATAGCAATAATAATAATTACATCATTTCAGATAGGAGACCCTGTTATATTTTGCCATAATGGATCACATCCAGTTGCAGGATGTTTGTACAGAGGGGATGGGGGGGGTGGCTTAGCTTCTGGACTCCGTGACTATAGATTCCAGTGTAATAGCATTCGCTGTAAGGAAAGAGGGAATAAACACAGCCCCCAAGGCCCTGGGTGCCATTTCACTATCACTTGTTCCCTGTCAGGTTGGGTGACAGTGGCTACAGATGGGCCAAGGTGCTGAGGCCGGGACTCATGCTGGTGGGAATGAGTGAAGAGAGCCTGTGAAACTGGGAAGATCTTGGTGGTCACCTTGGACATAAGATTCTCTTTCTCTTTCTGATGTTCCTCTGTACCCTTCTAGAGAATGGGCAACGGGCTAGATTTGAATCTTTCAGAGGGAAATGTGACAGAACCCTCTCATTTCTTTTTTTTTTTTTTTGAGACGGAGTCTCGCTCTGTCGCCCAGGCTGGAGTGCAGTGGCGCGATCTCGGCTCACTGCAAGCTCCGCCTCCCGGGTTCACGCCATTCTCCTGCCTCAGCCTCCCGAGTAGCTGGGACTACAGGCGCCCGCCACCTCGCCCGGCTAGTTTTTTGTATTTTTTAGTAGAGACGGGGTTTCACCGTGTCAGCCAGGATGGTCTCGATCTCCTGACCTCATGATCCGCCCGTCTCGGCCTCCCAAAGTGCTGGGATTACAGGCTTGAGCCACCGCGCCCGGCCAGAACCCTCTCATTTCAAATCTCATAGATGGAAGGATGGGGAAGGAAATCAGCTGTGTCACAGACATTCTGAGATTTGCCCACATGTTCAGTGTCAAAGGCTGCTCTGAAATGGAAAGGAGCAGTGGCCCAGGGTAGAAAGGACAAGGAAGCCCCAGTGGTAGGGAGAGGAGACAGGACAAGAAAAGTCAACTTTCTTTCAATGGTCTAATGAGGAGGGAAGCTGGTATTGCAGCAAGAGAGGTTCTGGTCTGGTTGGGGAGGCAGGCCCAGTGACCAAAACTGAAATAGAAGGGTGCAAAGTGAGAGTAGAGGGAGCTAGGTGGTCACAGGCTAGAGACAGCTGCTGAAGATGCTGACGTCTGAGCTAACTCAGAAGTGATGGGCCAGCCTCTCAAGTAGTCGAGGAGGTAAGGGTGATGGAGAGCAGGCCAGGTGAGGAAGCAGCATGTACCAGGGCACGGGGCTATGAGAGAGCAAGGGTTCTGTGCCTGTCCTCAGGTGCGCAGCGGGTGAGGGTGAGGCAGGGGTGGTAGGCAAGCCCGTCAGGCCGGCATGGTTGGCAGTTATTCCCCAAGCTGTGTTTCCAAATATCAGCCACTCAAGGACGGCTTTTATGGCTTATGTTACTGTAGTACATGGAAAAGCAGTTCCTTTAACTGTAAGAATGTGGCCATAATGACTCTACAAAAACACATGGGCCAGGCATGGTGGCTCATGCCTATAATCCCGGCACTTTGAGAGGCCAAGGCAGAAAGATTGTTTGAGCCCCAGGAGTTGGAGACCAACCGGGGCAACACAGGGAGACCCCGTCTCTACAAAAAAAAATTTTTAATTAGACAGGTGTGGAAGCACATTCCTGTGGTCCCAGCTAGTCAGGAGGCTAAAGTGGGAGAATCCCTTGGGCCTGGGGGGTCAAGGTTGCCATGAGCTGAGATAGTGCCACTGCACTCTAGCCAGGGCAACAGAACAAGAGCCTGTCTCAAAAAAAGAAAATACATACGTGTAATATGATGTTATGCAGTATGTGGATTTCTAGTTAGATAGTATTGCCAGCTAAGGGCTCTGTGAGGCCTGCTCTCTATTCTGATTTAAAAGGGAATGAACAAAGATTAAGGCATGAAAAGAGTTGAAAATGGAATAATTTTCTCATCATGATTCAGAAAAACCCCGTCCTCACACCAGCCTGCATCCTCCACTGGAGTGAGGAGATGGGATGTTACATGCTTACCAAAACCTATGTTTTGGTAAGCAGGGAACATTGATACATGATGTGGGAATGGTGAGAGGGATCTGAAGAGGTGGTCTGAGCACCCTGCCTGCCATGCCACCGTGGCCCAAATGGGGCCTGACCCAGCTGACCCTTCCCAGGCTGAGGCCACCATGGAGCAGTGTGCGTGCGTGGAGAGAGAACTGGACAAGGTCCTGCAGAAGTTCCTGACCTACGGGCAGCACTGCGAGCAGAGCCTGGAGGAGCTGCTGCACTACGTGGGCCAGCTGCGGGCTGAGCTGGCCAGTGCAGGTGGGTGGCCACCCTTGCAAGTGCCCTGCGACAGCCTCCCTGAGGACATGGGAGACCCGAAGCTACTGAGTGACAGGGTTCCGGAAGGAAGATGATGAGGATATTGGTACCAGCATCTCTAGGCCTCCTTGAAACCGGGTAATGACAGTCTCTGAACTATTTCAAAAAGCCCAACAGAAATGATTAATTTACCTGAGATGATTCCCATTTACATTTTGTTTTCAACTTACTTTTCTATTTTTAACTTTTTTCTTTTCATTATATATATATATATATATATATATATATTTTTTTTTTTTTGTGGAGACAATGTCTATGTTGCCTAGGCTGGTCTTGAACTCCTAGGGGCTCAAGTGATCCTCCTGCCTCAGCCTCCCTAAGTGCTGGGATTATATGCGTGAGCCACCATGCCTGGCCTATTTTTAGCTTTTAAGATTTTAAAGATAATTTTAAATTTAGAGACCAGTTCCAAGAATAGTATAAAGAACTGATATATACCCTTTACTTGGATTCACCACCTGCTCATATGTTGCCATATTTGCCGTTATCATTACTTTTTAACCATTTGAAACTAAGTTGTAGATAACATAGCCCCAAGCCTTCAGTGTGTATTTCCTAAAATCAAGGGCATTCTCTTGCATAAAAACAGCATACTTATTGAACCCAGAAATTGCCAGGCGCAGTGGCTCATGCCTGTAATCCCAGCACTTCGGGAGCCCAAGGCGGACAGATCACCTGAGGTCAGGAGTTTAAGACCAGCCTGGCCGACATGGCAAAACCCCTTCTCTACTAAAAATACAAAACTTAGCTGGGCATGGTGGTGGGCTGCAGTGAGCAGAGGTCACGCCACTGCACTCCAACCTGGCCAACAGAGCGAGACTCCATCTCAAAAAAACAAAATAAATAAATAAATAAATCCAAGAAATGAAACATTGATATAATATTGCCTAGTAACGATACTTCACATTTCTTTCTTTTTTTTTTTTTTTGAGATGGAGCCTCACTGTTGCTCAGGCTGGAGCGCAGTGGTGTGATCTCACCTCAGCTGCAACCTCCACCTCCCGGGTTCAAGCGATTCTCGGCCGTAGCTTCCTGAGTAGCTGGGATTAAAGGCACATGCCACCACCTGCAGCTAATTTTTGTATTTTTTAGTACAGACGGGGTTTTGACATGTTGGCTAGGCTGGTCTTGAACTCCTGACCTCAAGTGATCTGCCTGCCTCAGTCTCCCAAAGTGCTAGGATTACAGGTGTGAGCCACCACACCCAGCCAATGTAGTTCACATTTCAATTTTGCCATTGTTCCAGGAATTTTTTTTTTTTTTTTTTGGAAACAGAGTTTTGCTCTCATTGCCCAGGCTGGAGGGCAATGGTGCAATCTTTGCTCACTGCAACCTCTGCCTCCCAGGTTCAAGGGATTCTCCTGCTTCAGCCTCCCAAGTTGCTGGGATTACAGGCCTGTACCACCATGCCTGGCTAATTTTTTTTTTTTTTGTATTTTTAGTAGAGATGGGGTTTTGCCACGTTGGCCAGGCTGGTCTCAAACTCCTGACCTCAGGTGATCCACCTGCCTTGGCCTCCCAAAGTGCTGGGATTACAGGTGTGAGCCACCATGCCTGGCTGTCCCAGGAATTTTCATAAAGCATTTTGATTTCCAGTCCAGGAACCAATCCAAGATCACACACTTCATTTCGTTTCTCCTGTCTAATCTTTAGTTTTTTTAATCTGGGACATTTCTTCTGTCTTCCTTTATCTTTCATGACATTGGTATTTTTGAAGCATTAAAGCCAATTTTGCAGAACATGTCTCAATTTGGAGTTGTCTGATGTTTTCTCATTACTTAGGTTTTGCATTTTTGCCAGGAGTACTTCAGAAGTGATTTGTTTCTCAGTGCATCACATTGGAAGACACAAGATGTTGGTTTATTGCATTATTGCTGTTGTTCACTTTTATTTTGGAGACAGGGTCTCACTTTGTTGCCCGTGCTGGAGTGCAGTGGCATGATCTTGGCTCACTGCAGCCTTGACCTCCTGGGCTCAAGTGATCCTACCACCTCAGCCTCAGGAGTAGCTGGGACCACAGCAATACACTACCATGCCCAGCTAATTTTTTTTTATTGTAGAGATGGGGTCTCCCAGGGTGGTGTTGAACTCCTGGGTTCAAGTGATCCTCCTGTGTAGCCTCCCAAAGTGCTGGGATTATGATCCACTGCACCTGGCCTCATCTTCACTTTGATCACTTAGTTAAGATGGTATCTGCTAAGTTTTTCCACTGTAAAGTTCCTAATTTTTCTTTGTAATCACTAAGTAGTTTGTGGGCTGTAATCCTAGCACTTTGGGAGGCTGAGGCGGGCAGATCACTCGAGCCCAGGAGGTCAAGACCAGCCTGGTCAACATGGCAAAACCAATTAGCCAGGCATGGTGGCACATGCCTGTAGTCCCAGCTACTTGGGAGGCTGAGGCATGAGAATCGCTTGAACCCAGGAGGCAGAGGTTGCAGTGAGCCAAGATTGCACCACCGCACTCCAGCATGGGTGACAGAACGAGACTGTCTCAAAAAAAAAAAAAAAAAAAAACACAACCAGTGGTATGTGGGAGATACTTTGATACCCTATAAATGTCCTGCTCTTTACCAAATTTCAGCCTCTACTCGTTTTACTATCCATTAATGATTGTTGTGTGAATTATTACTAAGCTGTCTGCAACATGGTGATTTTTCCTGCTTTGTCATTCTTTATACATTTATTAGTTGGCATTCAACTGTAAAGCTTTCCCTTCTCCTTTCATTATTATCACTTTACACTCATATTCTTATTGTATTCAATAGGTTATAATCCATTACGGTTATTTAATGTAATGTTCAAATTGTCTTAGGTCTGACCAGCGGGAGTCCCTGGTTCCTATGTCTTTTTTAAAAACTGAGCTACAATTCACTTACCATTAAACTCACTCTTTTATTTATTTATTTATTTATTTATTTATTTATTTATTTATTTTGAGATGGAGTCTCGCTCTGTCGCCCAGGCTGGAGTGCAGTGGCGCGATCTCGGCTCACTGCAAGCTCCGCCTCCCGGGTTCACGCCATTCTCCTGCCTCAGCCTCCGGAGTAGCTGGGACTACAGGCGCCCACAACCGCGCCCAGCTAATTTTTTGTGTTTTTAGTAGAGACGGGGTTTCACCGTGGTCTCGATCTCCTGACCTTGTGATCCGCCCGCCTCGGCCTCCCAAAGTGCTGGGATTACAGGCGTGAGCCACCGCGCCCGGCCAAAACTCACTCTTTTAAAGTACAACTCTGGCCGGGTGCGGTGGCTCATGCCTGTAATCGCAGCACTTTGGGAGGCTAAGGCAGGTGGATCACCTGAGGTCAGGAGTTTGAGACCAGCCTGGCCAACATGATGAAACCCTGTCTCTACTAAAAATACAAAAATTAGCTGGGCGTGGTGTCGCATACCTGTAATCCCAGCTACTCGAGAGGCTGAGGCAGGAGAATCTCTTGAACTCAAGAGGTAGAGGTTGCAGTGAGCCAAGATTGCGCCAAGGCTGGACTGCACTCCAGCCTGAACAACAGAGCAAGACTCTGTATCCAAATAAATAAATAAAGTACAACTCTGGATGGGCATGGTGGCTCATGTCTGTAGTCCCGGCACTTTGGGAAGCTGAGGCAGGTAGATCACTTGAGTCCAGGAGTTCGAGACCAGTCTGGGTAACATGGTAACTCCGTCTACCAAAAATACAAGTATTAGCCAGTCTCATAACCCGGTCTTAAAATAAATAAATACATACATACATAGATGAAAATTTAAAAAATAAAGTACAACTCAGTGGTTTTCAGCATATTTACAGAATTGTACAATCTTCACCACTATCTAATTTCAGAACATTTTCATCACCCCCAGAAGAAACCTAACCCATTAACTATCTCTCCATTCCTCCCTCTCCCTAGCCTCTGGCAACCACTAATCTCTTTTTTGTCTCTATAGATCTGCCTATTTTGGACAGTTCATATAAAAGGAATCATATCACATGTAGCCTTTTGTGTCTGGCTTCTTTGATTAATGTGACCTTTTCAAGGCTTATCTATGTTGTAGCCTGTATCAGCACTTCGTTCCTTTCTATGGCTGAATGACAGTCCATTGTATGGATGTGCCATATTCTTCCACTGATTGATGGACATTTGGGTTGTTTCCACCTTTGGGCTATTATAAATATCACTGCTATGAATATTCACTTACAAGTGTTTGTGTGGACATATGTTTTTATTTATTTTGGTGTATACTTAGGAGTGGAATTGCTGGATCCTATGGTAACTCTATGTTTAACTTCACAGTTAAACAGAACCCTATGCATGCTGTAGTGCGTGAGTTAAAATAAACACTTGGCCCATAGTAAGTGCCAAATCATCTTCATTTCACTATAATTTTACAGATGAGGAAATGAAGGCTTCCAGAGGTGAACTGGCTTTTCCCATTTGACCAGTTCCAAGTCAGACAGTTAAAAAGTGGCAGGAGCTGGAAGAGAAGCTAGTTCTTTCACCCTGGCATTTAGGGCTGCCTCCTGGGCCACGGGGCTGGCATTTAGAACAGAGGAGGCAGAGCTAAGGTCTGCTGCCAAGGCAGGTGCCCCAGTCTGCCTCCTCTGTGTCCTTATTCCACTTCCTCTGCAGCCCTCCAGGGGACCCCTCTCTCAGCCACCCTCTCTCTGGTGATGTCACAATGCTGCCGGAAGATCAAAGATACGGTGCAGAAACTGGCTTCGGACCATAAGGACATTCACAGCAGTGTATCCCGAGTGGGCAAAGCCATTGACAGGGTGAGCACATGGCTGGCTCCAGGCCTGGGCTGGGAGTACCCTGAAGCTGGGATGTACAAGGACTCGAAGGAGAGCCAGCAAGAGTGCCCACATCACCAGGCCCTGTCTCTCCTCCTTTGTCAGAACTTCGACTCTGAGATCTGTGGTGTTGTGTCAGATGCGGTGTGGGACGCGCGGGAACAGCAGCAGCAGATCCTGCAGATGGCCATCGTGGAACACCTGTACCAGCAGGGCATGCTCAGCGTGGCCGAGGAGCTGTGCCAGGTACAGCCGGGCCGGGCAGGTGCTGACAACCTGCCTGCTCTGCCTTTCACCTGCTAGTTTTCAGTATATGAAGTCCCTGCCATTCTTCAATTCCGTTTATTTCCTAAAGGAAATCAGCGCCTCTGCCAGAAGTAGAAGGTAGCTTTAAAAACGTATATGATGAAAAGAGAAGTTACTCATTTCTAGTTAGAGTTGGTTGCCAGCAAGGGTTCAGAGCTGAGGCCTCATATCCCTTTATTGAAAAGGGAGATGGATGAGTGAAATGACAAAGTAGTACTTGTTAGGTGTTAAAGACACACTGGTGGTAAAAGTAAAGATTTTCCCTACTGTACTAGGAGGATTTAAGAGGAATAATTTTCTCGCCATGCAACTCCGTGTGTAGCCTGGGGACTGTCTCCACTGCTACGGTTGTAGGGTGGGGTTTGCAGTCCGCACTCTGGAGGTCAGCATGTCTACTCAGCCTCCCCAGGATCGAGATGGGAACAAGAGAGGCCCAAGTGGCTGGCACGAGACCAAGCTCCTCAAGCAAAGCCCAGCTCTCTCTGGCCTGTCTTTGGCGGGTGAGCTTTTATTATGTGCACAGCAGAGAACTTTGGAAACACCATCTTGCAGTGGTGGGATCTCTTCTCTCTCTCCTTGTAGGAATCAACGCTGAACGTGGACTTGGATTTCAAGCAGCCTTTCCTAGAGTTGAATCGAATCCTAGAAGCCCTGCACGAACAAGACCTCAGTCCTGCGCTGGAGTAAGGAGGCCCTTGGGTGGGCCAGCAGCACTCTGCTCTCCGACCTCTCAGGGCACAGGGCTTGACTGCGGTCTTCAGTTCACCCAGATGTACTTGACTTGCCTCCAGCCCTGTCTCAAGAGCCTCACACAGGCTTTTGGGGCCCTCCTCTCAGGTCCTGGCTCTCAGGTCCTAGCCCCCACCAGCTCTACACTAAACTGGCCCCTTTCTTCCCAGATGGGCCGTCTCCCACAGGCAGCGCCTGCTGGAACTCAACAGCTCCCTGGAGTTCAAGCTGCACCGACTGCACTTCATCCGCCTCCTGGCAGGAGGCCCGGAGAAGCAGCTGGAGGCCCTCAGCTATGCTCGGCACTTCCAGCCCTTTGCCCAGCTGCACCAGCGGGGTGAGTGCCCAGGGGGCTGGGGTTGTGCTGCCTGGCCTGACACATGTTTGGATATGGTGGGTTACATCAGGCTCCAGTCCCTGCGCCCATGCAGATGCCTCTCCCCAACTAGAAACTTCTCTGACCCCTCATTGTGTCCGGGATGAACTCTAGGCTCCTCCTCTCTCACATCTGCCATACCTTTAGTTTTTTTTTCTTTTTTTTTTGAGATGGAGTTTCGCTCTTATTGCCCAGGCTGGAGTGCAATGGCGCAATCTTGGCACACCGCAACCTCTGCCTCCCAGGTTCAAGCAATTCTGCCTCAGCCTCCCGAGTAGCTGGGATTACAGGCATGCACCACCACACCTGGCTAATTTTGTATTTTTAGTAGAGGCGGGGTTTCTCCATGTTGAGGCTGGTCTTGAACTCCTGACCTCAGGTGATCCGCCCGCCTTGGCCTCCCAAAGTGCTGGGATTACAGGCATGGGCCACTGCGCCCGGCCGTACCTTTAGTTTATAGCTTCAGCGCAGACCACCCAGGGTCCTCGTGCCTGCTGTGCGCCACACCACACTCAGAGCCCCACCTGTTATGCCTTGTGTGCCTCCCTGACATGGTTGGCCTATGGAAAAGTCCTTTAAAAAAAAAAGGCGGGGCGCGGTGGCTCACACCTGTGATCCCAGCACTTTGGGAGGCTGAGGTGGGCGGATTACGAGGTCAGGAGATCAGGACCATCCTGGCTAACACGGTGATACCCCGTAGCTACTAAAAATATAAAAAAAGCCGGGCGTTGTGGCAGACGCCTGTAGTCTCAGCTACTGAAGCAGGAGAATGGCATGAAGCCGGGAGGCGGAACTTGCAGGGAGCCGAGATCGCGCTACTGCACTCCAGCCTGTGCAACAGAGTGAGACTCCATCTCAAAAGAAAAAAAAAGAAACTTGTCTGGGCGCGATGGCTCATGCCTGTAATCACAGCACTTAGGGAGGCCAAAGCAAGGGGCGAATCACTTGAGCTGGAGACCAGCCTTGGCAACATGGCGAAGCCCTGCCCCTGCTCCCATCTCTACAAAAAGGAAAATGAAAAAGACTCAATTGAGCACTCTTCCTGTCATGCTAGAATTTCCAGACCTGGAATCTGAGTCTCACCTATGCTTACGTGTAGTAACCTGTACTAACCTGTTTTTTTAGTTCCACTTATATTTATTAAATTTTATCTCAAAATAAATATGTAAACCAAGCCATGATTTTATTTATTATTTATGAGACAAAGTCTCACTCTGTTGCCCAGGCTGGAGTGCAGTGGCGTGATCCCGGCTCACTGCAACCTCCATCTCCCGGGTTCAAGCGATTCTCCTGCCTCAGCCTCCTGAGTAGCTGGGATTACAAATGCCTGACTCTGGCCGGCACAGTGGCTCACTCCTGTAATCCCAGCACTTTGGGAGGCCAAGGTGGGTGGATCATGAGGTCAAGAGATCAAGACCATCCTGGCCAACATGGTGAAACCCCATCTCTACTAAAAATACAAAAAATTAGCCAGGTGTGGTGGCGGGCGCCTGTAGTCCCAGCTCTTCAGGAGGCTGAGGCAGGGGAATCACTTGAACCTGGGAGGCGGAGGTAGCAGTGAGCTGAGATTGCGCCACTGCACTCCAGCACTCCAGCCCTCCAGTCTGGCAACAGAGCAAGACTCCGTCTCAAAAAAAAAAAACCAAAAAAACAAGTGCCTGACACCACGTCCAGCTAATTTTTATATTTTTTAGTAGAGACGGGGTTTCACCATGTTGGCCAGGCTGGTCTCAAACTCCTGGCCTCATGTGATCCACCCACCTCGGCCTCCCAAAGTGCTGGAATTATAGGCATGAGCCACCACGCCCGGCCCCAAGCCATGATTTAAGTTTTAGCTACATACTGCTGCCTCTTGAAAGCTCTTAACCTGGGGTTACTCTAAATGGAGATTAGTGTGGAGACACCAGTGCCAACCTGAGGACTTATTTGATCCTTGATGCAGTTGGGGAGGAAAGAGAACTGGAAAAGAACTGTCCTCCTTCCCGATTCCACGTAGGTAACGCCTGTTCTTGTCCTGCAGAAGCAGCCTGGACTCCACCTCCCCAGTGGGTTTTACAGTCCCATTTGCCCGAGGGCATTTTCATCCCTGCTCAGTGTGCTTGGGGGCTTGGGAGCCGCTGGGCTCCGTATATGGTGCTGCACAGTCCTGCCGCCCGCTTGGGGTGGACCCAGAGCCCTGCACCCCCTGAGCTGCACCCCCTGGTTGCCTTGTAGAGATCCAGGTGATGATGGGCAGTCTGGTGTACCTGCGGCTGGGCTTGGAGAAGTCACCCTACTGCCACCTGCTGGACAACAGCCACTGGGCAGAGATCTGTGAGACCTTTACCCGGGACGCCTGTTCCCTGCTGGGGCTTTCTGTGGAGTCCCCCCTTAGCGTCAGGTACAACCTAGCCCTGTGAGGACAGCACAAGTGGGAGGGTGGAGAGGGAATCATCATTTTGCCAAGGCCCTGCCGTGTGCCAGGAACAGTGCTCGGTGCTTTCAGAGACTGCAACTGGCTTTCTTAGTCATTCTTCAGGAGAGGAATTACCTGATTTTACAGTTAAACTGAGACTAGGAAGAGTTATGGCCCGAGGTCACCATGAGGTCAGTGGCATGGTCACGGTTCCCATTTTGTAAGGTCTCCTGAATGAGGTCCCTGCCTCTCTTGCACCTCACCCTGGATCACTGCAAGACGTTCCCAGCTAGCCCACGCCCCTCTGCAGCCTGCCTTCCTCATGACCTCATGTCTTCAATACCACTTGCCTTCAGGGGAGATGTGAGTGGTTGAGTAACATGTATTCAACACTGCTGCTCAGACACCTCCCTCACAGCTCAGCAACCCTGGGAGGGACAGCCACTGTTACCCTCATTCTACAGTTGGAAGAAATGGAGAGTCAAGATGTGCACTCACTTGCCCAAGGCCTCACAGGGAATAAGAGGCACTTGGACCTGACCCCAGAACCACACACTCCACCACAGTGGACAGTTGTTACTGTGTATTTAGACCGTTTATGGAGTCTGAATACAGCAGCTCAATATAGTGGACTGATTCCACGCTCATCTAATTTGTGACCGTGGATTTAGGTTACAGAATGTTATTTCCCAGCAAGAACAACATCAGCACCTTAGGATGGTTGTGTCGTGCAGGATTACCCTGTGCATTGTAGGGTATTTAGCATCTGAGGTTCCAGCCAGTAGGCTCCCTTCCCCATGCAGTTGTCATGAGAACGGAACCCCAGCCTCCACTTGTTAGGCAGCCTAGTTGGTAGCCACCATTATAAAGATGTATTATGACTACACAGCAGGGTGCATCCTATAGGCAGGCTGGGGCCCTTTGGAACTGCTCACTGTCCCCTAGTCACACCAAGGACTTTTCAGTCATTAGAATGAGCAGATATCTGCCCCTAGAGCTATAGGAAGTCTTCCCTGTAGATGCTCAAATTTTGGGGTGCATTAGAATGAGTCTCTAGAGTCAGACACACATAAGCACGTATGTGGCACCTTACAAACAATGTGAGGGATCTTTGAGGACCATGCACCATTTTGGAGCCCGGTCTCGAGGTCCATGCTGACGCGCGGCGTGCTGGCCCTGTTGCCTGTCTGCTGTGGTCTGAGCCACTCGAGCCTCTGTTCCTTGTCTGCTGTGGTCTGAGCCACTCGAGCCTCTGTTCCTTGTCTGCAGCTTTGCCTCTGGCTGTGTGGCACTGCCCGTGTTGATGAACATCAAGGCTGTGATTGAGCAAAGGCAGTGCACTGGGGTCTGGAGTCACAAGGACGAGTTACCGGTGAGGCCTGGCCCGGGGAATCGTGGGCAAGAGGCACTGGGGAGGACAGGAAGTGGAACTCACCTCCTTTGCTGCCCTTCCCAGATTGAGATTGAACTAGGCATGAAGTGCTGGTACCACTCCGTGTTCGCTTGCCCCATCCTCCGCCAGCAGACGTCAGATTCCAACCCTCCCATCAAGCTCATCTGTGGCCATGTTATCTCCCGAGATGCACTCAATAAGCTCATTAATGGAGGAAAGTAAGTTCCCTGTGCTCTACTCCACCTTGGCTTGGCTCTCCTACTGGCCACCCCTGAAATGTTCTTGGTTCTCCTCCCTTTACAGGCTGAAGTGTCCCTACTGTCCCATGGAGCAGAACCCGGCAGATGGGAAACGCATCATATTCTGATTCCTACCTGGAAGGAATGTTGTTGAAAGGGCTTTTCACCTGGGAGCCTTGGTCTGTCTCAGGAGGGTGGTTAGCGCCAGTGGACTGTGGCTGGTTTCAGAGCACCTGGCTGAGGAGTTCCGCTGAGGGGAGGGCTGGAGCAGCCCTTTGGCAGAGACTGAGGAGGGAGATGGACCAGCCCACACCTGGCAGCTGGCTCCATGGCATAAGGAAAGGGAGATGCTGGCCTCTGTGCTCCTGCCGTCTCTCCCTGTTTTTATTTGCCCTTGACTTGGTAGCGGCCGGCAGAGTGGCAAGGCACTTGGTCTTCAGCAGTAGACCTCCTTCTACCCCTGCCCTCAGCCGAGTCTCTTGCTGCCATGCCAATGCTATGTCCGCCCTTGCCCCTCGGCCCAAGGGTGTCCAGCGGTGGCCCACCTCTTCCTCCCACTGTACAGCCTCAACAGTATGTACCATCTCCCACTGTAAATAGTCCCAGTTAGAATGGAACGCCGTGGTTTTATAACTTTGAACAAATCTATTCGCTGCCCTTCTCATTTCTCCTGGCCAACCTTTAGCCTCACAGACAAATGATGACCACATGTCTACCACACACAGGTACTGGGCGCAGCCTGGTGGCCGCCGCACACAGAACCGTGGCCAGCGGGCGTCCAGTGTCCAGGCAGAAAGAACCCAGCTTGCAGCCCTGACTGCGGGGAGCTTAGATGTCAGACCCCAGGCAACGTGCTTTTACATATACCCATTACCAGATCTTATTACCTCCATGGGAGAAATCCGTGTAGTGGGATTCAGGAAAATGAAATAACTTGCACAACAGGCTCACAGCTTGGAAAGGAAACAGCTTGGAGTTTTAACCAGATCTGACCCTCAAGCCCAAGCTATTTCCAGTTTACTCCAGGGTGCCTGAACTTGGTTGCTGTGTATAGAGTCCTGTGAGTTTACTCCAGGGTGCCTGAACTTGGTTGCTGTGTATAGAGTCCTATGAGTTTACTCCAGGGTGCCTGAACTTGGTTGCTGTGTATAGAGTCCTGTGAGTTTACTCCAGGGTGCCTGAACTTGGTTGCTGTGTATACTGAGTCCTGTGCAGGGCCTCTGACAGCAGTAAGAGGCCCCAAGTCTAAAATGTTTGAAGGGATTGGGTTACTAAGGCCATTATGTTAAGCAAGAGAGATAGCCTGGGGGGATGCATTTTAGCTTCATATTCCTATTTAAAATTTGCTGTGTGGGTGGATAAATCGCTTCCATAAGCTTCACAGTGGCATTTAAGGCTCCTGGGGGAAAGTTAAGAATGGGGGTGTTCCTGATGTGGGGGCTTTAGGCTTCCATGAAGTGGGTCTGGGCCCCCTGCCTTACCTCACAGCCCCCATCTACCCTGGAGGAGGGAGTTGAAAGCGCTGGGGTAGCAGCAGGATCAGTTCTCAGCTTGAGCCAAAGCATCTGGCCGGGGCAGCTGAGCATTACCACAGAACCCTTCGAGTCCTTCGGGCTCTCTGGCGAGGAAAACCGCTTCACTCTTCCCGCCCACCAACTCGTTGGCCCAACCAGCAGCTGCTGCTTAAGAAAACACCCACAGACTCACCACATTTTAGTCTTAGCATTTACTTTCCCCACCCCACTTTCTTGGAACAGCCTTTAGTTCTACAGGAAATGGCACTGATGGACAGAAGACTGGCATTACCTTCATGAAAGGGCTGTTAGAGCTGCCTGGGAAGAAGGCGAGCCTCGGGGAACTGGGAAGATGCAGTCAGTGTGTGTGGGCAGGAGGACAGCCAGTCATCCCGCCGCCAGCCCAGCAGCTCCCAGCGGCAGGTGCCCAGGTGCTCCCGGAGCCCCTCATAGGGGTAGGGGCAGGGACTGCACCTCCTCCAGACACTCGTCGTAGGCCTCCTGGTACTCCTCGTGGGGCTTGACCATTATCACACAGGTGGGGCGCTTGGAGCCTGCGGCTGCACCCAGGTCCTACAGAGAGGAAAGAAGTGCTGTTTGGAAAAAAGGCTGTGCAACCTGTATGCCAGGAAGTCACCAACTGATGACCCACCAGCCTAATCTGTCCCACAACCATGTTCTCTTCGGTCCATGTTCTATTTAAAAGCATCTTGAATTGGTTGCCATCATTTAAACTCAATCAGACTTTCAAGGCATGGTCTAGCCACACACAGCCTACATTCCCACATGACAGCTATGAAAGGGCTCCAGTCCAGCAGGGGCCGTCCCGGTCCCTGCCATCCCTCACTTCCTGTGCCTCAGATCTGGCCCCTGCTATGTAAGATAAGGACAGCTAGAGGTCCCCCTGAGCCTAAACCCACCTAACAGGACTAACATGGGTGAAGCATCTTAGCTTACAAAGCTTACTCACATACATCTGTCTCTTTTTATTCTCATAGTCCACAGAGAACTGACTTCAGTTCTTACTCTTAGGCCAAATGGTAAGTTCCTTCAGAACAGGGCCTCTCCCTGCTTTATCCCAACAAGTGATACTGTAGCTACCCAAGATCCACCCTCCAGCCTTTTTTTTTTTCCCCCAGACAGGGCCTCACTCTATCATGCAGTCTGGAGTGTGGTGGTGTATGATCATGGCTCACTGCAGCCTCGAACTCCTGGGCTCAAGTGATCCTCCCACTTTAGCCTCCCAAGTGGCTGGGACTACAGGCATGTGCCACTACACCCAGCTAATTAAAAAATTTTTTTTTTTGTAGAGATGGAGTCTCACTTTGTTGCGCAAGTTATTCCTGAACTACTGTCCTCAACTGATCCTCCTGTCTTGGCCTCCCAAAGCACTAGGATTACAGGTGTGAGCCACAGCGCCTGGGCTAGGATTCCCATTTTATAAGATGGGAACTGAAATGCAAGAGGTAACTCATCTGTAGTCACAAAACTAAGAAGACATGGAGCCGAGAATCCATCCAGGCCTGTCTTAGCTCCAACACTCCTGGCTCTGTCCTATACTCTTCTGCTACGGCAGACGATCCCAGACACCCCAGTGCTGAGCAAGGTCAGGGGGCCATGTGCTCCTTACCGTCTTCGAGGGTATATAGACATAGGGCAGATTTCGGTCCTCACACATGACTGGGAGATGGCAGTATACCTCAATGGGCAGTGTGTCTCCTGCCAAAACCATGATCCTGAAATGAGAGGAAACAGTCATTTCTGGCTTTGCTCCCTCCTTTCAGTTGTAAGTGCCGCCTTGGGCTGGGTCTCAGGGAGAGAGAGAAAACTCTGTTTGGTGAGTGCACTCTTCTGGGGTGATCTCTACCTCTTGGCAACATGTAAGTGCCATCAAAGTGAGGTAGTGCTCGGACAGGTGAAGTACAGGATGGGTGCCAAGGTGTATAAGCTCAGCTCTCTTTGGAGAGTCAAAAAAGTTTTCAACCAGGAGGTGATACTTGAACAGCACGCTAAATGATGACTGTGTCAGGCAGCCCATGGAGGGGTTGGGAGTGGGGAGAGCATGAGGTGGGAGAATCAGAATGGCACCGGAGAGACTGGCAGGGGACACCTCCAAGGCCTTGAGTACCAGGCTAAGAAGCATGGGCTCTGTCCCAAGAGTGACAGTGAGGCAATGAAAGCTTGCCAGAGACGCCTCAGCCAGGGTTCCTAGCTGGCCAGGTGTCAAGACTGGGGGGGCAAGGGCCTCAGGAGCCTGAAGACACAGAAGGAAAAGTCTGCTCTCCCACACTGGGTAACAGGCAGACACACAAGGACAGAGTCCTCAGCTGAAAGCGCTCTTCCCCACACCTAGTGCTCCTCTGCCGGCTCCCCGTGTATTAAGCGCCTTTAACTGTGAGTGTTCCTCACAGCCTTGTCCTCGGCTGCCATCCCCTCGCAGTACCTTCTTCCCGGCTGACCAGAGCCACTGCCGTGGGGTCAAGTGCCATCTGTGTGCTGAAAACTCCCAGATTTACCTACCATCTCCAGCCTGGCCCTCTTCCATGCTCCAAACCCCTATAGCCATCTGCGTATTTGACAGTTCTCCTGGTGGGGGGAGGGGTGGAAGTCATGTGTCTACGGCACCTCAAAACCTTATCCAAAGCCAAGCTTGTGATCTTTCTACACAAATCTGGTCCCCCTCCACTGTTCACATCTCAGATTGGGCCCTCTCTCCCTCCAGCTGGGCATGCCAGAACCTAAAAGTTGTCATTACCTCCCCATTCTCCACATCTAAAGTCCTTTCAAATCTGTCCCCTCTAACTCTGTCTCCACCATCACCTCTCCACGACTACAGTAGTCTACTGCCTGAACTTTCCCCAACCTACTCGTACCTCTCTAATCCTTTCTTCAACTGCCAGAAAAATCTTAGGGTGTAAAAAATAATAAAAATTATGTCACTTCCTGGCTTTAACCCCCAATAGTTTCAAAAGCACTGAGTATAAAAACTAAATTTACTGTGGCCTACAAGCCTCCTAAGAAGGTAGCACCTCTGCTCACCAGACCCTCTCCTGCCCCCAGGCCTCTTTCTTCTGGCAGGATCCTCCCACCGCCCGCCTCCAAATTAATCCCTGTGTCTTAAGAGCTCAGCTCAAATGGGACTGCTGAGGCAAACTTGCCCTGAGGTGCCCTCCCCAGCGTGGTTAGACGCCATTGAGCATCAAGTGTGCCCAACATTATTGAGCTCCTGAGCACCCCCAGTTTCACTTATTGGGATAAAGCACGGAGGCCCTGTTCTGAAGGAGCTTACCATCTGGCCTGAGAGGGTGATACAGGGAAGAAAAATGTAAGTTTCAAACTTTGATAAATGCCATTAAGAAAAGTGGGGTGAAGAAGTAATTCTCATTGCACTCTGTCATTTTCCTTCATGGCTATCACAACGTGTAATTATTTGTGTGTGTGTCATTATCTGATCAATGAATGTCATTGTTTCTCCCACAGCACAGTGCCTGAAAAAGAGTATACTCAACAGTTAAGGCTGCCAGGCGCGGCGGTGCATGCCTGTAATCTCAACGCTTCGGGAGGCCGAGGCAGGAGGATCCCCTGGGCCCAGGAGTTCAAGACCAGCCCGGGCAACAGGGCGAGCCTCCTCTGTCTCTGCAAAACAACAACAATCAGCCAGGCGTAGCGGTGCAAGCCTGTGGTCCCAGCTACTTGGGAGGCTGAGGTGGGAGGATCACTTGAGCCCAAGGGGGACGAGGCTGCGGTGAGCTGTGATCGCACCACTGCACTCCAACCCGGTGAGAGCTAGACCCATCTCAAAAACAAAAACTTTAACGCTCAGCTCCTTAAATACAGAGCTGGAGAAGGGCCATCCCTAGGACTGAGATTCAGGGCTGTGGGGATTAGGGCGGAGGCCCGAGGTAATCTGAGGCAAGGAGCGGAGCCCGAGGAGGAAGGTCCCTGCATTAATGAAGGTGGGTCTACCCTAAGGAACTTGGCTTACACGATTCGCTTCACTTTGGAATTCACTTTGAGCTCGTATACGTGATGTATCGGTATTGTACCAAAGGGACTTTACCGACTGCTTGATTGGCTTCTGCATATGGGGCTAGGTCGGAGTCAACCTTTTTACGGTGCACCTACTAAGC